AAAATGCACGTTTTCACCACTCAAATTAACCGTTCGCGCGGGCTAAAAACGGTGAAAAATTTTTATAAGGGATATTAATATTAATTAAATGCAATTTCCGAGAAATAAGAGGATATTAATAGGTCTCTTTAGGAGACCTATGTCAGTACTGGTAACTTTCTTCTACATATATAAAAAAATACATACATATATATATATATATATATATACATAATGTGTGTGTGTGTGTGTGTATGGCGTGCGCGTGCTGGTGTAGGAGATCTTTATTTTTTATATTACAAATTTTTTCTGTGAACCTTTCAGAATAGTTTCAATCTACAAAAAAATAATCCCTGCTAAATTTCAGCTCAATCAGACAACGGAAATGTCCTTATTTATTATTGTAATGAGTTTTAAAAAGATTGATGAAGTCGTTCCTATAATATAGCAAATATTTAATCACGCGTCTCTCGTTTTTTATCCATGCGTCATTAAAAATAAGAGTAAGGATTAAGGATAAATTATGAAATAGAAAATTTCCAGTTGATTAAGACACAATTCCTTCATTTGTAACATTTTTTGCTTTTTTATTTAACGTCTTTATTGGGGAGAAAAAGCTGCGCCGATTGGTTTTCATCGTTACAGCTATATTTCAACGAAACATTAATCGAACGAGTGACTAGGTGACGAGAAGCGCGAACCCTCGTCCTGATACTTTCTATTATTTACAAAAAGACGGAGAAAGAGAACAGAAACGTCTAGTCATACACTGTACAATCGAGGCTGTGTTTTAAAATTCACTGCCAGTGCTGAAAATGTATAGTATATGTAACGTAAACTGTAGATTTTCAGCGCTGGTAGTAAATTTTGAAACACAGCCAACTAGGTCTACGGTGTTCGGTATATTAGCATGTTCACGAAAATACTCTGTAACACGCGACCGATTTTCCTTTTCTTTTATTCTACACAAAGCAACTGAACCATACAATTAGTTATGTAAACAAAAAAGTATGATTCTATACAGAAATTTGATCGCTGAGTGTAAAGCGCACCGGAAACCATTAATGCATTTAATACGTTACCGCAGGCATAGCGTTGCAACTAATTTCGTGTGTCATATGACCTACGGTTACGCTCCAGTACCCTGATTCTGTAACTCTTAACGACAGTTTGATATCGTTGTTATCGTTGCGTAGGATTTTTCAATGTATAATCTCTGCGTGACAATATAACGGTATCGAAACTGTCGTTAAGAATTACAGAATCGGAGTACTGAATTTGTTTTTGAATACAATAATAAAATTAATATTTTATTTAAGTTTGAATATTTTACGCACACAATTTCACAATAACACGTCATCGTGTGATGAATATTTGCTTTAATTTGATATTATTAATTGATAACACCAGAATTGGAATCGATATATATTGTACATTTTCTATTTGAATTGAAATGCATAAGTGAAAAATTTAATTACCTGTTTGCGCTTCGCACAAACAGTTAAATTTTATCTTTTTAAGATATACCATCTTTTTTTCAATATGTTTAACAAATTGGTCATTGGATTGTTATAAAATTACTTACATAAAAATACATCAAAGTAATATTTCGTCGTATAAAAAATTAATTTTTTTGTTTTTTTTTCCGAATATGATATTCAATATGATATTCAAAGAATTGAAACTGCGAGTCAATAAAACATCTTGTTAAATCTGTTGCAAGAAATATTGCCGGTTACGCCCTTAAAAATAACTCTAAAAATCGACGGATTACCCGTTATTCTATTTACATTCTACAATACTATATTGAGGATTACGATCCTCTAGATTTTCGGTCACTCGTGAAGTACTGCCAATTTTCGTAGGATTCATACAGCGAGAAAATAAATATCTAATATCTACGCCAGTGGAAATTACCTGATATTTTTGGAAAATAATAAAAATACTAAAAATATAATCTATTATATATAAAATAATGAAAAACAATTAAAACAATCAAATAATCATTGTTAAATGCGAAATTGTTCCTTAATTAAAATTGTATAAATAATTTCTAAATTCATTCACTTCATAAACAATTTCTACAGCAATGGAAACAATTAATTGTTTAATCACAATTTTTATTTATCTTTGGTAAAAATAAAATTCGTGCTTAAATATCTCTTAAGTTTAATAATTTTAACCAAATCTGCAGACCTTCTCCAATGACCGAATGTCATCTCCGTCGATTTCTTTAACTAATCTTCTTAAACTAATTAATCACTGACGCGAAAAGCTCCTTTCATGGCGTCACTATGCCGCTTAACTCTTTGACTGATAATTAATCCAAGTACACACAATCAATAATATGTTTATAAATAAAATTATTAGATTGAACAATCCTTATTATTTTTTGTCAATAAAAGATTTATTTCAATAATTTATTTCAATAATTCTTAAGAATAATTCATAATTAAAAAATTTTTTAACGTATTTAAATATTATCACATAATTAAATACGTAAATATTATTGAGTTCAATATAGAAATAATTGTTTGTTATAAATATCTTTCAAAATTTTCTTTAAGAATGTGATGACATTCAAACAGTTATAATACTTTATAATACTTTATTCGTCGAATAAGTATTAAATAGCAGTCAAAGGGTCAACGCAAGCGCACAAGTGAAATATCACGTCAGCGTTACAATAAAGCGGACTCAATATGAGCCGTCGTAATAGTTGAATAATTTTAAATTGATCTATTTTATTATTTCGAGGCGCCGCATTCCGTTCTGACGGCGGGAAGTTCTTCAGATTGTTGAGAATCCTAGAACCTCCTTTAGACCCCTGAGGATTTTTAGGAACACGAAAGCCTATTCGTTGATTAAATCATACATCCCGCGGACTTTTGTCCAGAGAGATCGCGACATTTTATTTACACAGTTTGACGTCGGCGGCCTCGAAACCAATTACGGGAGCGAGCGATCGACTTCATTTGTACAAGATGAATCGGGAGATGTCTAAGAAAAAAATTCACGTATGCGTATAAGGCTAAAGTGGATCAAGCTTGTTTCATCCGTGAGGTTCACTTTAAATACGAAATCATATTCAAGGAGGACTTTTTTTAAATTATAACATCTGATCTATTTTAGTTTCGAACGATGCTTTATATACCTATAGTTGGACAAAGTACGGACCATTGCCAGTTTCGTTGTGCTGCTGAAGAGCGTGATACAATGCACGATGACCAGCAGCTGTAAGTCTTCTCATTCAGTATACAACTAGTTTGCACTTTAGTAGGAAAATATATACGCTGATTTTTTTTTTTAATAAATAATAATTTAGTTTTATAGTTAAATTTCTCCTCGAGATTGCGATTTCAAATCCGCCGAAGCTGTAAAAATTGAGATTTGATCGTGATTAACTAAAAGATAAAGAATCGGATTTTTGCGGAATCCCGAAAATTGGCCGAAAGATCGATCGCAAGCCGCTTGTATCTTCCATAAGTCCAGTCGACGCACTAATGCTAATTAACTAATGCTAATTCAAAATACGGCGATTTGTCGGCTTTTAATTACGCAGAAGCTACGAGGTAACTCGCTTTGTCGCACCCATGTTCGCACCCATCGCAGTTTTTTTGCGGTATCAGTCTCATGAGAAGGCGCTTGTGGAATAAAAGAAGGCACTTCGTTGCATCTTCTTCAGGCACACTTTTTGATATGTCGACTATTGGCCAGATCAGTTCCTATATCTATGCCTATTTCTTCCCCGAAATTTCTTCTGTCTCTTTAGATTTCGGTCTTTTTATACGCTTCCCAAACTTTTTTTCATCTTTATGTCCGCTCCTTTTATGTTTCCGTCATTCAGCTTTGTTAAATCTCTTTACGTCTTCCCTAATTCCTTTTTTCATTTCAATCTCTTTCACATTTCTTCTTGATTTCTTGACTAGAGCCTCTTCTTGCTTTTACCAATACTCATCATGTTTTTATTGATAATTTTCAGATTTCTCTTCGGGGTTTTTAGGCTTCGGGGACAGGCTTTTGGCCGTCAATAGACGTAAATAGTTTTCAGCTGATCCTTCAGCTCGGGGGGAATGGCACAGGTATCTGTCTCTGCTTTACGCTTCACTAATCGACGCCAGCGTCCACCAAGATTCTTGCGGAAGCCCTTCGCAAACCCAGGCCGGTCCGACGGCAAAGCGTGTACGAGGGTATCCTGTAAAACCAGAGAGACTGTTTTATACATTCACCATTAAAACGTAAAATAACCCTGGCGGAAAAAAGTTTACAAAAAAGTACAGAAAAACTACATAGATTGGGATAAGATCTTAGAAATTTTTTATTTTTCGTCGATATTCGTAATGGGACGTAGAGTGAGGTTTGTTTGTTTTAGAAATTCATAATTTTTCGTAGATGTTTGTAGTGGAACGTAGAGTGGCGTTGTTTGAGAGCGAAGGATTTCTAGATTTTTTATAAAAACAACGCCGCTCTATATCCCACTATGAATATATGTAAAAAAGTAATAATTTCTAAGATCTTGTCTCAATCTATGTAGTTTTTCGTAAATTTTTTTCCGCCAAGGAAACCAACAAGTATATTATGTCGTATTATTTATATTGTAGGCTCAAAATCTATGAAAATCAACGTGATAAAGTAACGAGTTGAAAAACAATATCGTTGTTAAAATCTGAAATATTTTAACTAGATATACTTTTTCGCCAATTTTGAAGTTTTCATATCGAGTATGACACGTTGAATCAGATTCTATCCAAGTAAAGTACCTGATTTCGAAGTTGACCAAAAAGAGTAGAATTTCATTAGATATTTATTCGCATTTCTGAAACGCGATTTGCTCACAATTTTTTCGCGATCGTCCTAATAATCGCTTAAACATATTAAATGATATTTTATTTACAAAGGTCATAAAAGCTTTGCCGCTTAAGGTTAGCAAATTTGCATTATTGGTTAGAATCGCGACGACTCCAACGTTCTGCCAATCTCGCAGACGGAAGAATGGTATTTCGTGAACCTCGACAACTACACCCTATTCGGGACCAGGCTGGTAAGCGGCGGTAGGTAGACGCCCACTGGCGATGCTAAATTTAGTGCCAGACCGGAGAAGCAAGCTGCACCCATTTCGCCGATGTATTTATACATACATTCTGCGGCATTATTATATCTCACGTGGTAATTTTATCGCTAAACTATAGTCAAAAGTTAATCCATGTTGTCGTGACATTATAAAAATTGTTTATTCATTGTTATTACATTTATTATTAATTAAACGTGAATACACACAACACTTTTCATTTTATATTTGATATCACGTTAATACAATAGAAGTACATTTTTTTATTCAGTGGCGATTAGAGAAACTAAAAATATTACGCGATCGATTCGAACTTATCGAATAATCGGCGTAAAATTATTAAAAGCGACGATTATTTCAAGCGTTCTATTTAAAGCCGTCTTCTAATTGTACCCTTCTGAATAAAAAGTTAATTTTCCTAATTATATCAATCCACGAGCTTCCCCCTCGCAAGATCGATAAATTATGACGCGACCTAATTGTGATGAGGACAAGCTTCTTAATAAAAAAAAAATCTTTAATGTTCTGTCATACTTTTACATATGTGACGTTGACGAGGTCAAATGAATTATAAAAAAAAAAACAAATGTTATTGCATTCGTCGCGATCGAATCGACTTCACGTTAGGTTGAGTGGTAAAAGGCGCATCGCGGCTACAACCAATCAGCGATTGCCGTTTGAACGGCGGGAATAATCGATCGTCCGCCGCAAAATAGCGTGAAACCGCGATGGCCGCGGGTCACTGTCCCGACTATCGATTGACGGGCTTCTTATTTTTTTCCGAGTCTTATGGAGGGTGCATAAAAAAAAGATAAATCAAACAGCTGGGATTCTAGTTTATCGATTCCTTTTTGAGTAGTTTTATTCGCTCAAACTTATGGAATTGTAGAAACATGACAGCAGAATTTCAAATTTTATTTAATGTTAACGAAAGGTATTTTAATTCTATAAAAATAAAACTGTGTGATTTTAGAGAAAATTAAGATTTGTGTTTGTTTAGATATTATTAAAAAATGTCGAATAAGTCTCTTTCAATTAATTTCAAGGTAAATACTTTACCCTTTAATTTAAAACGTAATAAAGTCTGTAATTATGAGCCGATATGTCATCACTGAGGAGAAAAAAGGGAAAATTAGTCGTAAGGTATACTGTCGTTCTTTTTTCTTGTGAGAAAAATTACCCCTATAGAATAACGGTTGCGTCTACTGCTTTCTACACCGAGAATCTTTTTTTCGGGTGCTCTGGCCGATATACAGCACGTCCTCGAGTCGTTGGACAACGTAGCAGGGATAAACCAGTAAAATCTAGTCATACTGGCTCCACCGGTTAGTCGGTTAGCCATTGCGATGGTTAGATCAACCGACAGATCGCGAGGAGCGATTAAGAACAAACTTTATGCCATTGACTTTAGCTAATTGCACTTTACGGGGCAAGATGACTCGAAAAAATATTTGCATAAATTATTTTCCATATTACTGTCATCATATGGACAGATATATGAAAAATCTGATTGAAATAGTTTTAGCGTAACATCTTGATTATACTTATTTTGTAAATCTCTCACAGAATCTCTCAGATACAATCGATTCTACTATAGTTGTGTCAAAATTGAAAGCGATATTATTTCATTGTTATGAATAAATGTATACTATTTTTATGTGCTTAATTTATATTAAAATTTGAATTCAAAAGATTTTGGCCTGGATGAAGAGAATGAGGGAACTACGAGAACTTCGCATCCCTCTATAGACGACTAACGTTTGAAAACAAACTGGCGCTTTCAGTGTCATCGTTTTATTATTAAATAAAGATAAAAAGGTTGGGAAAAAGATTGTTGCGATATTGAAATCGTTAGAAACGACAGTTCTTCCGTCATTGAAGTACTGAAGAGAAACAAAGGTTGAGAACCGTCGATGTAGAAGTGCCGATGTAAAATACAAAATGTACGTACAAGGTGTGTACCAACCTGATCGTTGTACAACGTGTACTGCGCCGGCGGCATGTGGGGGGGAGGGTACGGGGGCGGGAATTGCCACGCGAACGGATCGACTGGATTGGCGGACGGCGTGACCGTCGTCGCGAATACATGCTCGTCGCAAACACTGTTGCCGAGGTCGGTCGACATGGTGGTCGTGGACATCTGCGTGCAGCAACCGTCTGGTGCCCCGAGCGTCGCCGGTACCCCGAGGGTCGCGAGCGACGTCGCTGTCTGTACCACCGCTTCGGGGTGCACCGCGTCCACGCTCGAATGATGGTCCTCGCGCTTTCGCAGCTTGCTGCGAACAAGGCGAATCGCGATCATAGTTCCGTTGCTCCCAACCATCTTCCTGCACTTTTGGTACAGCCTCGCGAGCTTGCTCGTCTTCGCGACCGCGTTCCTGGAACCCGGCAGCTCGTTGGAATTCTTTGAGCTCTCCAGGGTACGAGAGTTCCCTAAGCTTCTCAGGGGACCGAGAGTCTAATAAAATTTCGAAATCGGTTCCGCAAGATCGCGATCCATCCGGAATTTTTATGCGGATTTATACCTGAGAGATCCAGCTAGGTTTCGAAAATGAAAGTTTTTTTGATTTTCTTCCGAACACTCTGAAATTTTGAGTAACTCCAAAGTTACGCAAGCCGACACGGTTCTGCGGAGTGCGGCGACGTACGTTCCATTCGAATTGTCAAGGATTCCGACTGTCGGATTTCCTTCGAGCGACTTGGGAATTCTAAAATACGAGGAAAAAAAATGGACATAAGGTTCTTTCCTCTCTCAGTCTATATCTCTTTCTCTCTTGCGCGCTTTTATATTACACGGCGCGTGGAGCCGTCGTCAAATCAGCTGTCTCTCTTCACACCCGAGAGACGATTTCTCTCTGTGTTTCTCTTTATTTTCCTTAACGTGATCGTTACCCATCAGTTGACTCGGAGTTTTTAAACCGATACTCTTGTATTCATGCGTCTTTGCAGCGAAGATAAATGCGGACAAAGTCTGTCTGTCTGCTGTCTGTCTGTCTGTCTCTCTCTCTCTCTCGCTCTCTCTCACCAACGCTTCTCTTGTTCTTCCCGTTAGAGTTTTAAGAATACATCGACCTTCTTTCTAGGTTACTCTCCGTCTCCATCGCACACACAATCCCTATTTCCACCTTGCTCTGTCAAACGATTTTACTAACGCACTTCCAATGCTCTCTCTCTCTCTCTCTCTCTCTTTATCGACTTGTGCCTCACTCGCAGCTAAGGATATCACCATTTACACTTGCGCGATATTCGCACTGACTAGCTTCGTGAATCCTTGGCATCCGACATGAAAAGGACTTTTTTTCCGTATCTCTTTTTATTTCTCCTATCACGCGCACGTGGACGTGAATTCGAACGAAGGAACGGCGAACGGCGTCGTATCTCACACTGCCGAAAGGCCGCAGCCGATGTAACTCCTCCACAACTACCTCCGTCCGTTCATCGTTCGCAATCGTTCGCAAACTAGCGCGCATCTGAATCGGCGAACGATGTGTGACCGTCTCTTATACCGCTCTGTGACGTCACGAGCGAGCACGGCTGCGATTGGCGCGCGTCGCGCGCGACGGCCAATAGGCACCGCGGCGAAATTCAAACGGTATACGGCGCCCGCCCGCTCGCCGCGCCGCCGCAAACTCGCGCTCATCGTCACAGTTGTCGCGCCGGAAGGCCGACCAGGCGGACTTGCGTCTATATATCACGTAATCGTGACATGTAACCGACGACGACGACGCGACGCGACAGCGGCGACCGTTGGCGACCGTGGCCTCTCTCTCTCTCTCGTTTCGTTTCATCATCGTTTCTAACACGGTTCTTTCGATTTTTTTTTTCTTTACTCAGTGTTTCTCTTACCTACGTTACCGCGATGTATCGCGATGATTAACAGAAACTTATTTAGCATATAATCGTCCTGAGTTCTGAGTATTCTAAGGGGAATTTACGCGTTTGATGCAGGCCGTCTTTTTTTATTTTCATGACAGTTCTCGCGATGCATTTGACGCGTATGATATACATATATATACAGTCTGCTAATTTTATATTTAAAAATTTGCGATATATCAACATGATTTTTAAATGTGCAATCATCGATTTGTAAATTAGAGTAGAATTTTATTTATTAAATATTTCTACGAACTAATTTAATGCCTTATTTTCAAATGGAATGAAATGAAATTGGATTTTAAATTATAAAGAGATCAAGTTAATATTACACTTTTAAAGTGAAATTTTATCGTACAAATTTACATTTATTATTTTATGCAGTTAGTAAAATGAAAAAAAAAGTATAAATTTTTTAATTTAAATACATAACATAATTAAATTAAATTAATTTCGATTGAAATATATTACAATCCACTTACATTCAATGAATTTAATATCAAGTAAAAAAAATAAAGGAGAATTATTAAAACAATAAAAGAAAATGAAACGAGAAAATTAAGGATGTATATTTAATATATGGTTTAGTAATACAGTTTCCCAGTAAAAATTTTTCATACATTTAATATGTATAAATATATATAACATATATAAATATTCATATAAACATGTATAATCATATATAAAATATGTCCATACATATTCATACATCCCTCTTTCTTTTGTAAAATTACTTTTTGATGTAACAGAAATAACAATAGTAATGTGAAAACATACAAAATAATTAAAGAAATAATTTTCGCATTGTACATTTTAGAAAAAAAAAACAAGTTTGGAAAAGTGTAAAAAAATTGTTTATTAGTATACAATGCATAATTTTACATATAATTATACATAAGTAATTGTTTTACATTTCTTTAAATTTTATTTTTTCTAAAATAAATAGTGTAAAAATTATCCTTTTAATTATTTTTAATGTTTTCACATTACTATTATTATTTCTATTACACTAAAAAGTAATTTCATAAAAGAAAGAAGGATATATGAACATGTATAGACATATTTTATATAAAATTATATATGTTTATGAATATTTATGTATGTTTATACATATTTATACATATTCATGCATGAAAAATTTTTTACAGAAATGTAACGTTTCGAATTACTTAGTCATCATTAGCCGTCATATGTATTAGTGCATATTCAATATCTCAAAGAAAATGTATGAGTCAAGTTAATTTAAAATTATATGAAACATATCGCAATTATACAAACTATAATTGTCCGTTTATGTTTGTTACAAACGCATATCATGATGTTATGTCGAAAGTTCATTACCATGTGATAATTGGCAGAATCAATGTAGTAAAATTTTTTCTGTCAAATAGTATCGATGTCGAGTAAATAGATAAGTAATTATTATTAATAATACGTAAAAGATTTTGTCTTGAAACTCTGACATGTTGGCGGTACGAGATATGGGAGCGACATGTCGAGAATTATTAAATTAATAAATAAAATTGATTCGTAATCGATCATATCAAATGATATTGAATCTTATTAATTCAGATAGAACAAAATCAAGTCGAATAAAACTGCATTAAATTTAAACAAATAAGAGACAAAACAATTGTAAGGGCAGAGAGAGAGGGAGAGAGAGAGAGAGAGAGGGGTTTCGTCCTGAATCGTGAAAAGTTTATCAGACTGCGATAGAAAATAATAATAGAGACTGCTGTGTCCGCAATTATGCAACAGTGGCTGTGAGGACGACTTTAATTATTAATATAGAGCTCGTCTGTGTTACACGTGCAACATTTATCCTAACCTAACAATAATAGCAAGGTCCTCATCTGTAAATCATAAGCAATTGTTGTCTTTATTATCAGAATTTCTTGAGTCAAGTTGGATAGAACAAGATAAAAAAGAGCAAAATGAAATTTAAAAAATGACTTAATGCGTTGAACTCGTGCATGGAATTTGATTCAATTGAATTAAACGGAATACAATAAAATGAACATAAAGGTAATTAAGAAAAAGGCTCAAATAATTTATAAAATTAAAATAATGAATATAGAACTACGAGACAAGCAAGCTCTGATGCTATATTATTAAAAAACAAACAGAAAGTTTATTAAAACGTATGTTTCGACCTCAATCGAGCCATTCTCAGTGTTAAAACAATAACGCAATTTAAAATTCGAACGGAATTAACTAATCATAATTATAAAAACAATAAATTATACAAACATATAACGTAATTATAAGAACAATAAATTACAAAAACATATTAACTGAATTCATCGCTATGAATGTGAAATAAATTTCAAATATACATTATTAAATCGTATGGACATAAAGAATTAAGTCTACTTCAGACGATTCATTTATTCCCATCAAAATGTTGAATCGGGACAAAAGTTTGTAGAACTATAAACTTCAAAATTTAAGCAGCTACAACTTTTTTTTAAAAATGAACGATATTTAAATTTAAAAAAGGGTTTTAAAATTTTTATTTTTGAAAGGTCCAACATCTTTTGAGTTTCTTTGAGTTTCGTAATTTTTACATAAGAAAAACTACGAACTGGACAAAATTTAAAATTTTCTTCTTGTTTTGTAAGCCTGTCACATGGCTAAAAAATTTGCAAAAATTTTCAATTATCCTACTCTAAAAGCTTAATATATTCCCTACAAAATCGTTTTTTAAAAATGTTTCTAAAATTTTTTGTTATATTGCGGATTAAATAAAAGGAGTGTTTTGATTTTTATTGCTTATAATTCTGTTAAAAATTATCGTATTGCAATTAAAAAAACAGATTCTTAAGGCTAAAATTTTACTTTATTATCAAATGATATAACTGCCAAATATTTTTTACCAATTTTTGTTTCGATCCAATATGTAAAGCATACATATATTAAAATACACACATATGTAATAATAAACAACAAAGTTGTTTAAATAAAAATATCATAAATCAAAATTTTGTCGAATAAAGTCAGACGCAAATTAATATCGTCGAAAATAAGCTTAAAAGAAGGCAAAAAAGTAGATATGATTCTCGACCTTTGAAGATAAAACCGGATTAAATAAAACAGAAAAGAGACCTGAAGCAGATATCTATTAGATATATGTACAAGGTAACAGAATGTAACTGAAATAAGGTAACAAATTTCGGATTGAGCTCCCACACCAAACATGGAAAGAAGTTCATATTTCATGTTTTACGATCCGACGTGTCCAGCGATGGGAGACACGTTGTTACAATTAAAAATTGAAAATAAATAATAATAAATATTACTTTTTTATTTTCCCCTTAATAAACACACATGTTGAACTATCTCACAATCAGTAATAGTAATAGATTTGCGGGCATACGTTCATATCTTAATATCTTTATTAATATCTATATACGCATAATCTTGGCAGTTCTTTACTTACTTTGAAATCTATTCTCGTACATGATAGCGCCGATAGGAGATCCCGATTCTTAGAGCGAGCTTACTCAAAACGATTTTTCAAGATGTGGATTTGAGAATATATTATTAATTGATTATCGGCATCTATCACACACAGTATGATAAAGCAGATGAATCATGCGATCGGATTTAGCGCAATGATATCACAGAAAGAGGAACATTGAACCTCTCGTTGTAAAGAAAATCTAGATTTCTTGAAAGAATATTTTGTTGTTGGTGTTGTTACTTCTGCTTCATAGCGGTAGACATCATGTTTATAAGTGCGACAGATTATAGATCATTCAATTCATAAATTGTCAAAATGCACGAAGAGATTCTATCAAAACTATTATACAATAGAGTATATCAAAATAGCGAAAATGACAAGAAGAGATTGCGATATGAAATCAGATATCATTTATCATTATTAATGTTGTAAGAGAGAGGGGAAAAATCCAGGAAAGAACTCAGGAAAAACGAAAAAATGTTCTTTCCTATGCCTTGAGGAAAAGAAACCATAACAGGAAATTGCTTTATTCGATGTTGCAAAAAACATTGCAAGCATTATTTTGTTTGATGTTGCATTGCTTCATTTACAATTTACGTTATATCTACAATATAGATTGTCTTATCTGAAGTAAATAAAATAGAATTAAAACTTTATGTACTGATTCTAGTTATTAATTTCTTACCTCGCATATTTTCACTTTCATAAAAATGTTTATTATTATTTTAACCTTACATCTCTTTTTAACTGCTTTTAAATGCTTAATGTATTTTGTTTTTATGCTTAGCTTTAAAAATGCTTAAAAATTTTAGTAATGGTATTTTGATATTTCTATAAATTACTTATAATTTTGTTATTCTGTAATTAAATGTCTTTTAAAAAATTTGTAATATAGAAGGGTTTTATATTTTGTGTTGTAAAACAGGTTAGAACAAAATAAATGGAGAATAATATAAAATTTTTTTTATAAAATATTTTTTCTCAGGTTTTTTCCTAGGAAAATTCTGGGAAGATAGGTTCTTTTTCGGCGATTTAAATTTTCTGGGTTTTCTGAGAAGATAACAACACTAAACATTATTATTTGCCAAAATGTAACAACATAAATATTAACAGATATTTTAATTTTATATTTTTGTGTTATTTATTTAGCTGTTCAACTTATTTTTTTTATCATAAACGTAACTCTTATGTTAATCTTTATTTTAAAACAAGAGAAAAACGTTCTTTGCGTATGTGAAAATTCTCATTAAAAGATGTCCTCGAGCTTTTAACGTCTCGTTTGCGAGAATAGAAGCGTCTCGAGTTTCAGGCAATTGTCCAAGACATACGATTAAGTGTAAAAAATCGATAAAATAAAAAAAAAGAACCTATTCGCGATTATTTAAGCATTTTTTCATTTTAGTAAATTTAATGTATAATTGTTCGCATAATTTCAATCTGATCAAGACAAAACAAATATGTGTGATAAAATACATGCTGCATCTTATAATCTTATAATAAAAAGTTTCTTTTAACAAAAACTCTGAAAACGCATCTTTTTTCGTAACTTTTTCAGAGTTGAGTAAGTTAATTTTTTTTTTCACTAAGTTGAGTTAAAGTTAACAGCCTTAAAATTTAACTTAGTTAAAATATTTTACACTCGTTATATTTGATTCACAGAGAAAATTTTTAACAATTTTATTTTTCGAACTATAGATAGGGTAGAACTTTTTCGTTCATTTCTCACGATAATGTTTATGTTTCTGAACAGCACATGTTGATTATTTAAGGGTTGTGCTTATGCTCTCAGGGAGCAATCATGATTGTATAGTGTAATTATAAGTACGTCACTGCAAAGAGATATTGTTTGCTATTGTCTTCCGTAATTTTCCATAAATTTATTATTTTAAAATTGAAATTGATAGAATAGCCCCGCTCTACTCTATTGGGTGTATTCCATTTCACGCATGATGCGCATGATGCATCATTTATCCTTGTTTAACATTCGGTAAATAACAAGGATAAATGATGCATCATGCGCATCATGCGTGAAATGGAATACACCCAATAGAGTAGAGCGGGACTATTCTATCAGTTTCAATTTTAAAATAATAAATTTATGGAAAATTACAGAAAACAATAACAAACAATATCTCTCTTTGCAGTGACGTACTTATAATTAAAACCATGATTGCTCCCTGAGAGCATAAGCACAACCTTTAAATAATCAACATGTGCTGTTCAGAAAGTGTACGTAGCCTATATCTAAACATCAGAATTACGTTTTTTTAAACTTCCTTTTTGTTATACCTTAAAAAAATCATAAATAGAAAGAGCGGTGTCGATGCAGAATGCTACTAAAAATTTTATCATAAAGTTCATCAAATAAACTAATATTGTAGTTATTGTGATTGTCGTTTTCAAAAATAATTTGTTTAAAAAAAAGTGCATTTTAATCTTGAGATACAAATTTTGTAATTTTTATAATTTGCTTACAATTATAGATATTAGTCTATATTAGCTTCGTTTTTGTGATTTTGAATTAGTGCAAAATAGAAAAAAATTTTTTTATTAAACAATTTTTTAAAAATTAAATATATAATTCCTGAAATACTTCAATTGAAATAAAATTCTTTTCTAAGAAGAGAGTCGTCTGAGGAAAAGCCTACAATGTCGTTCTGATATAGCAGACAAGAGAAACAGCGTCTCGACGGTGTCTCGTGATGACGATGTTCTGGGAAAGAATATCCGAAAGGAAAACGTTTCACGATCGTTACCTTTACCTCTATTTCCGTTCGGCACACGCCAAACATATACACATATATATATATATATATACATATATAATATATACACATGCTGTTTTCTACATGTGATGAGCTAATGCCACGCGACAGAGGACAGATGGATAAACGGTTGCTCTCCGGCGTCGAATTCTTTTTTTTTTTTTATTTCGATTCTTCGTATCTACCTTCTTTCTTAATATATAATATTTATTTCTGTTTTTTGTACGTGTTTCTTATATTACCACAAGAAAACGCATTTATTCATTATTTTAAGAACTATAAAAAGATAAACGAATAACGAATCTTTTCAAATATTTTCAGGAATATAACAAATCAAGGTATAAAGACCGTGTTATTAAATATGTTAACTGAGCAAATGTGTTCATTAATCTGAAAATATATTTGCTAATAAGCGTGAACAATTTAAGGATTTTAATATTCTAATGAATTAATTTTTGCTTTTTTCTAATTTTAGTTCTAAATAATTAGATTAATCTACAAATTGATAAAATGAACAAATTAATAATATATATTCGAAAATTACGTTCATTTTGACCGGCCAAATCATGATCGCCCCATTTACGACATAAAACAAAATACATAGAATCAGTGGCATAGCGAGAAAAATGTTTCGGGAGGGGCTGTAGAAATCAGTTTTTTAAAATGTTCTTTTTTATATTAGTGACACATTTGGTAAGCATAAACAAAAAAAGTTTCGTTTAAAACAAAATAAATTCAATAACAAAAAAGTTTGATAATTTATATACATGCCGTTGTAATGTCGCGTTTGACGTTTCGCTGACGCTGCATATAAATTGTCATAATTTTTTTACTATTACATTTAAAGATCTAAAACTTTCCAGAAAACTTCTTCAAATATTCAACTACAATGTAGCATTAATGAAAAATTTTAATTCGAAAATTCGTAACACAACTTTAATGTTTGATAAAGAATTCACTAAACTCGACAAAATATTATTAAAAATCCGCCATTTTGTTGTAAAGTGCTCCGAAAATTTCGGAATAGCTCTACAAGTCACAGAATAT